GGCCCGGGGCCCCCCGGCGCCGAGGGTGCTCCGCCGCCCGAGCACTTCGGCCGGTGCCACAGCGCGCTGGCCGCCCCCGCAGACGCCCACCTCCGGGGCCCCAGCCTCACCTCTCTGGGTAGCCATGACGCCCGCGCAACCCCGCGCGGCTCTGACGCGCTCCCCCTCCGCACGCCCTGCGCTTGGCCCGGGCCCCGCCCCTCGCGGTCATAGAGACGAGGACGCGCGGCCTAGAGCGGCCCGCGGCTTCCGCCCCGCCGCGCGGCTCTGACGCGCTCCCCCTCCGCACGCCCTGCGCTTGGCCCGGGCCCCGCCCCTCGCGGTCATAGAGACGACGACGCGCGGCCTAGAGCGGCCCGCGGCTTCCGCCCCGCCGCGGGCTGGAGTCGGGCGCGCGAACCCGAGCGGCTCCTGAAGCGAGGCCGCGGGGCCGGTCTGTACGGCCGAGGCTGTGATGAAAACTCGTTCGCTGGAGTGATTCTGAGAAACCCAACTGCAGGCCGGCTAAGGAAGCGGAGTCGAGGGGGCCGAGCCTTGCCTTCTGGGAATTGTAGTCCTCACAGAGACGCTGAGGCGCACAGGAGGGTTTGCAGTCGGACTTGGTAATTGATTCCTGTCAGAGCTGTTCGAGCAGATCGCAGAATTCATAAAGTAACAAATTACTTTCATCGACTTTTATAACTCCCACCTCTTGTGTAAGTTTAGTATAATTTATATTATATGTGACCGGGAAGTCTTGTTCACTCCAGCACTGTCATGGACTAGCCAGACATTCTTCACCCAGTGATGTTCAGACAACAAAAGGGCCTCAGAAAATGTATCAACGGGCACTTTAACCACTATAATCTTACATTAACTGAACGTTGATTAGCATCAGAGAAATTAGAAATGATTTGTTAGTAAATTGAGTGCTGTTTAAGATATGTAGATTGGTTTAAAATGCAATAAAAATACTTCAGCCCTCACAGGAACAGGTATACAAGATTCTGACATGCCCAGTAGCCTTCACTTCTGTAGCATGATTTTCCCCCAAAAAATCTTTTTAAAGAGTTGAGGGGTGATTCTCATACCACTGTGTTTTCATTATTCATAAATAGCTCATCTGTTAACTGGGAAACTTAGTATACCTTATTAGCATAATATTATTATAAGGAGGTGTTTCCAGGAGACTACAGATGACATTGTCATTTCATTAATCTCATTTTGGAACAGTGTTAAATCTTCCCTTCTCTACCTGACTGTGTGTGCTCCTTGAGGCTAATCACCTCTTGTAACGGATACAGTTTACACATGTGGAATTATTCAGTTCCCCTCTGTGTATGTACTTGTATGTGTAGTTAAATGTAAAACTCATGTATGTACTAAAATTAATTTTAAAGATTAAAATACCGTATATTCCTTCTTTTCCTTTACAACTGCTCTGTACAGTTTCTCTCTTTCCATTTTGGAGTATCATTGTGTTCTTAACTTGCTTCAATTAACTATACATAATTACTCTTTTTATGATGCTTAAATATCCAAATGTGACCTTTGTAAACCTGCTCCTTTACAAAGTCTGGACAGTTTTTTCAAAAATTTTCTTATTTTTATCAACAAGCAGTTCCAAACCAATGTTGATTTCTCCCTGTCCTAGTGTGGAATCCAGTGCAGCTCTTGAGAGGATGAGAGAAATAATGGTAAGAGCCAGAAAGTGAGAGGATGGAGAAATAATGATAAGAGACAGAAAGCTGAGGTCAGGTAGAGCCCTCTCACCTGATAGGAGGAAAGGAACAGCTCAACCACCAGGCATTTACATTTCGCACCAGATTTCAAAGGTTGGTGTCACATGACACCATTTTGCATAGCAACTGATTGCTTGGATTGTCTTGGGGCTTGATGTTTTTTCGGCTGAAGCAGTTTGTCCAGGTAGATTGCCTCAGAAGTTCTTTGTTGTAGGACAAGCCTGGCCTCTACCCACATGTATGATCAGTTTCCAGCTTCAGCCTTCCCCTGCATCCTAGATCATGGAATCAACTACATTTTAAGGAACCATAGGTCCTTCCAGGACAGAATAGTATTAGACACATATTTAAATACTAATCACAACTAATTATTCTTGGTCTCCCAGGTTAAGACCCTGAAGTCATACTTTGATTTTCGTTTCCCTTTTCTCAGATGTTATTCCTTCTTAAATGTAACATTTGTCCATTCATGCTGTCCATCACCAAGTACCACATGTTCTTACAACAACTTCCTAGTCATCTCACTACTCCAGAATCAACAATCTGCAATGTTTTTATAATCATGTACTACAGGAAGGCAAACTATTCCTTTGCCTCTCAAAGCTCTCCAAAAAGTGTACCAAATCTACTCAACTTTATTTCTCCCAAAATAGTCTCTTTTTTCTTTTGTCTTCTTTTGTAGTATTTTACTACTGAACTCCTTATCAACTCCCACCTTGACTCTTAAAACACTCGACCAAAACCCTTGCTTATAGTTTATCCCCTTATTTGTTCATTCATCCCACAAGATACTATACAAATGTCAAGGATATAAAGATGACTAAAACAGTTAAATTTTTTGAAGAAATTCACTATCAGAATAAAGATGAACACTAACTATGCACAATTCCTATTTCAGTGCTACAAGAAAAGTATGACTAACATCCATTGAAAATCCAAAAGAGGAACCGATTCTTCCTGGTTGATGGGGAAAACCATCACAAAAATAGTAAAATCTGATCAGGCTGTTTGAGGGCAAAAAGAATTTCATGGGGTTACTACAGAGTACACTCCAGGTGAAGTACATTCCATAAAATAGATGGAAATGGAGACCATTATAGTAAGTGAAACCATTCAGATCTAGAATATTAAATATTGAATGGTTTTCTCTTGTATAAGCAATCTACAAATAAATTCAAAGTAAATAAAAGAGGGAGAACCAAAATGACAAAGCAACAATCAGCAGCAAAATATAGCCTCCCCAGGACCCAGAATCCAAATACCTAGAAAATAACAGAGTGAAAAAGAAGTGGATGTTGGGGAATTGGGAGGGAACTGAAAGGAAAATTAGAAACTACATAAAAGCTAGAGAAACAGCACAATACAGAGAAAAGAATAAGCAGTGTGGAAGCTCACCCCAGCTCCCAGGAAGGAGAACATGTCTCTGAAGATACAGGATAAAGATAAACTTCTAGCAGACCTACTTGTATATAAATTGTCATGATTTTCATACTTTAGTTTAAAAATAATGCTAAATATAGGCTGGCTGGCTGGTTGTTAAAGCAAGGCTTGGGGAAGAGGGGGAGGAGATATTACTAAACATCATGAACTTGATTTTATCTGTTTATTAACCTTCATTTAGTATTGTAAGATTCCTAAACACAGAAAGAAGGGCTGTAAACCACCATTTGGGATTATTTTAGGTCTGGAATTAGAATGCCCAAGGGAATGAAAATATCAAATTCAATTTGAAAAGTCACATTTGCTCTTCACTCAGATACCTTATAACATCTATGGAAAATGGATTTTGAAACACCTTCCTGTTACAAACAGCATTTAATCTACAGACAACAAGTTATACAAACATCTTAGTAAAAAAAAAAAAAAAATCAGCTTGTGCAGAAAAACTACTATATATAAATCACATACCTACTCTCCCCTCCCCGCCCTGTTAAAGCCAGTTTAACAAGCCCTTCTTCTGGAACTGTTCTTATCTGTTGTTGGTATTAGAAGTATGTAATACTTCTAAAATTTAGTTGCCACTAATTCACAGAGCCCTAAACACAGCTGCTCCTGGAGTCGGGCAAGTAACACAAAGGAGCGAAGTGGGAGGCCTAAAAGGCAGCAGGAACTAGGGTGTACAGTGGAGAACTAGAGGTGCTTGTCCTGTGAGAGCGCAGAGCTACTACTTCCAGGAATGCCAACCAGATGTTACTATGTAGATATTCTGATTTTTTTCAAAGAGCTGGAAATCTAGATTTTATGTAAAACTCCAGGTTTTAAAAGATCACATGGAGCTTTGCTCTAACTCTTCTAAACAGCAAAGTTTTATTATACAGTAATCAGTGTTAACATTCAGTAGTTAAGAAAGCTGAAAATATTGTTTGGGTTTTAAAATTTTAATTTTAACATTCAATGTGATTTTAGAAATAAGCCTTCTAGTCCAGTCATAATAACCTCACAGTATAGAATTATCAAAACGGCATCATAATTTCAATCTTATTGCTGTTAAACTTTCTCTAAAAGGCAAAGAAAAAAGATACTTGGGCAGAATTTTCTTTTCCGATTTTAATAGAATGAAAATTGTGTTACAGAACGTAACTTTCAGCTGTTGCAGCAGTTTGAAAGAATATGAGAATCCAATAAACACTCACACAATCAGCAAATGTGGCACCCCCATAACATCAATTTTCATGGATATAAAATACTTTTCAGTATTTGTCATTGTTCAAAACTGAGGAACACCTTTGAAGATGTTGTCTCTAAGTTTCATCAACAGCTCTAGTTAGGTTCACCCTGACCCCCTCGGTTTTTTTGGTTTGTCCACCACGAAGACCAGCGATATAAATCTGGGGCTTGGGCACTTGCGAGCCACCTTCTGTCATGGACTGGGTGCCAACATTTTTGGAGAGGTAAACCTGTGAGCAATTTTCTCTTCTCATGTGACTGAGATCAGTCTGTACTGAGTGAGTAATTTTCTGACGTAAATTGGCCTAAGGGGGGGAAACAGGAAACAAGAATTAACATTTCTGTGAAGAATAAATAATGTACACTATCAGACACTAGTTAATATCTGATTATCATCTTCTCAACCTACAAAAGAAATTAATCTGTTAACAGCATATTTCTTTAAAATATTAGAACATTAGGAAATCGAGGTTATAAGAGAAAAACAACCTGTACTAAAAATTGGGAAAATACATTAACTGATGCTAATGAAACCAAAGAAAAATATCCTAGAGTTATTGTTACAGTGAGCTCAATTATTTGTTAAAATAATTTTCTAATTCCTTCATTATTATACTTTGAAATTTATACACCTTAGAGTTTTCCATATGTGCTTTATTTTTTTAAGATAAAACTTTAAGATCTACACAGTCTTTGCAAACTAGGTTTTGCCCTTAGTTTTTAATATAAAAAGCTCTGATGATTTCAGTTTAACATTTTACATTATTCTTCACCTTGCTTACTCCCTGTATGGATTACTAGTAAACGTGAAGTTGAACAGATCACATGGGCTGGAAAGCAAGGAAGGGCTAATGAAAACGAGAATACGTGCTGGGGGATGTAGCCCAGCAGTACAGCACTTGTCCTGGTTTCCATCCCCAACTCCTTTTAAAAAAAATGTACGTAAGTGTTGATGAGACTATAGAGGACAAGAAAAAGCTCACAAGGTATTACAGCATGAGTGCAGACGAGAGACCTGGAAGTTGAGGAAATATTCAGGCTTTGAATTAAGAACCCACACCCTTCCCTCCACACACACTGCTTTTATTGTCTACATTAATATGACTTCACTATTCCACTGTCTTCAATAGCATAATTTTGCTATTCTAAGAGACTCTTCCCAATCAAATAACTTGGTTATTCATTACATATGACCCTGAGTTGAATCATTTTTCTAGTGTGTCGGATTAAACACAGGATCTCCCACGTGCTTCACAAGTAGAGATCTACCACTGACCTTCATCCCCAACCCCTTTGAATCCTTTGCCTCAAAACATCAGCTTACTATTCCCACCAAGGCTTGACTGCTTTTTTCTTGTCCAGTCCTCTTCAAACCCGCAACCTGCTTTAGGCACTGAGAGACCTAGCTTAACAAACTTCAAATTCTCAATAAATTCCGCATTTGCCATTTTTCCTTTGAGGTGATGTGTTCTCTTAAGGCACAAGCAATAAACTCAGCTTTACACATGAACAGATTGGGTTGGTGGTACTCAGAGCGTGGTATTCAACATGATACAATGCCCGGGGACCATTAAGTCTCAGGTGGGAATAAAAACTAAGTGGAGACTGAATACTGGGAAGAGAGAGTTCGAGCAGTGTGAAGTTTAGACCTTCTGACTACCCCTCTCTCTTAACATTCTCAGCCCACACCTACATCGTCCTGTCCTGCTCTCACAGCCTATCCAGCCACTGCTTCCCTCTGTCTCTTTGCATCTCAAGACTAATTTTAAATGTCACTTAATTTACTTTATAGGTTCTATTTCACCTTGTTATACTATTTACAAAAAGGTACTGAAATGTTTTAGCAAAGCAATATTACCTGCTAGCCTTTTATCCCCAATAGAACAAGGTAGTGGGATATATATGTTACCCAATAAATGTATGATGAGCTCACGTGAGTTTAGTAGATAGCAGAAAAGAATATGGGCATTTCTACAAGAGTACCTAGTAGGAATGATAATGGAACCATGATCTGGAATTCATATATGGAACCTGATCCTTCCTAGGAAATCAGGGAACTGCAAATCTACCACCAAAGAGGGTAGCCATGGAAGCATAGTTAGTGAGAAGCTCAGAGTCACAGATTGAATACACAAACAAAACAAAGGCTAAACTTCATATGAGAACAGAACTCTAACTCACAGCCCCTACACCAAACAGTTCAGAAAGCCTAACTGCAACCTCTGAGCCAGGCATGGTGGTGCACACCTATAATCCCAGCACTCGGGAGGCTGAGGCAGGAGGACACCACAAGTTCAAGGCCAGCCGGGGCTACATAAGGGAGTTCAGGGCCAGCGTTCACTACATAGTGAGACACTGTCTCAAAAAACAAAACAAACAAGAAAATTGCGACCTTTATAGCTATAGCAATCAGGCCCAAATGGCCATGATGTAGCCACCACCCACTTCTAGCTCCACCTCCCCAGCTCAGGACCAAGCGGAGAAAGCCAGACATGCTCACCAAACCAATCACATAGACTACCCTGTTTGTGTTGGCTGGCCTCCAGCTTCCCATGTCCCCACCCTCTAATCACAGCATCTGAAGCTTTCCCCCTTTTCTCACTGTAAAGCTTTCCCACCTCCCTGCCTGTTTTTCTAGTCTGCCAAACACAAGTCACAATGGCTGACTCCCTTGCTACTGTAAGCTCTGAATAAATAGCCTTTGCATTCTCATTTGGGTGGCCTTCATTTACTTCCACACCTAAAGAGATAGATAAAATATACCAGAAAAAGGTTACAGACAAATTTTTAATCTTATTCATACTATAAATGTTGTTTACAATGATAAGATACTACAAAAAGGGGCAAGTTGGGGAAATTCCTTTGAGTTGGAAAGGGATGAGTTTCAGACACAGGCTTTAAGGTGAGGCACCTATACTGTGAAGGTGACTGAGAATCAAAAGGGTGCATGAGCCCTTTTGCGACCTTTTGCGACCCTATACTGATGAAGGTGACTGAGAATCAAAATGGTGCATGAGCCCCGTGTCTGGACAAAACAGGCTGACAATAAGCCCAGACACTCAGATTTAACACAACAAAAGCCCCCCAAGAGGAGTAGGCTTTACATGATTAGAAGTTACGAAGTTCATTAAAATATAGGTCTGAGTTTTCAAACTCTTAAATATGTACACATATTCATTGTTCTATCCACTGGCTGATACCCCTTGATAGTAATTTCATGCTTCTGTATTTCTACATCTGCTTAAAATTGGAACGCAATCTTATAAAGTAAATTATGCGAATTGCTTTTATATTAACAAAGCAGACTGTGTAGATCACATTATTTTATATAAGTAATTTAACTTACAAAATCTATGAAGAGCAGCATACTAAACTTCCCCAGCCTGTGAGTCATTTGAGAAAAGATAGTTACAAACCAGTTTTATAGCTTTTCTTCTGAGCTCCCATTCATTCCACTCATACGCTCGCACAATGGTTGGTTGCAGTATGTGTGTGTCTGTCTGGGTGCTGTTTTCACACTTGGTAATTGGTTTTATGTAATGTTTATCGACATCTCTCATCTAAAGAAATGGAATTTTGTACTTAGTACTTGCAAAACATGAACATTATTTGTAGAGAAATATTTAGTTAAAACTGCCAACAAATTAGAAAAACAAGAACTTTGGAACATGGAATATACTTGTAAATATCAACAGAGAGAATAAACTCATATTAATTGAGCTGAACGGAATTATTTTTCTGAGCGCTGTAGCTTCGTGCATGATTTTGTGAAGTTAATGTAAGAAGTATATTTTGAAGGGGAAAACATCCCCCGTGCCCATGTTCAATGTCCTTCTTTGTGTTCCACAGTTGGTAGCATAAGTAAATAACTTGTTACAAAGGGGTAGAATTTTAAAATAACTGTTATAGCTGGGCATGGTGGCACATGCCTATTAACCCCAGCACTCGAGCAGCTGAGGCAGGAAGATCTCTGTAAGTTTGAAGCGAGCCTGGGCTACCCTGTTGCAAAAACACATGATTATATATTAGGTGTAAATCACATTGGTTTAAACTATCAAAACCTCTTTAGGAGATACCTGTGCATCCGTAGCACATTTAGCAAAGTTTTGACATTTATTTCTCCTGGAAACCCAAAATTAAACATCCAGTAATTCCAGTCTAACCAAGATATAGTTGTTCTGCATATGGTTTTGTTGGAGGGAGTGGGAGAAGTTTGAGGAACTGGGGTCATAGTAAAGAAGAGAAAGAAGGCATTAACTTCTTTACCCAAATCCGGTACCAGGTAATTATGATGTGCCTACCATTTAATATTAAGATATAGCTTCTGCCTTTAAAATTATGATTCGATCATAATTGTTGATAGATAAAAACAAACTAAAAGATAATTAACTGTACTGTGCAATACAAGTAAATAAGTAAATAATGAGACAATAATCCCCCCATGCAATATAGAGGGAAAAAACTAACTTTCATAGGTATTGTGTATATACCACACCTATTCTGTTATCAGTTCTAGGCTTTCTCTGGTCTTTGAGTTATTTTACAGCCCTATAAATTTTAAATGACTAATAACAAGATCAAATAATTTTTGTCTATAGATACATAATGTTTGTCCTATCTTTAGAGATTCAACTGACTTCCCTTTAAATCAGTATTGCCTTTATTTATACATTATTTGAATACATCCAATCTATAACTGTGTCTGTTAAGAGAGTCTCTGCTTTTTGTTTTGTTTTATTTTGTTTTATTTTTTGTTTGTTTGATTGGTTTTTTGAGACAGGGTCTCACTATGTAGTTCAGGCTGACTTGAACTCACTATGTAGCCTAGACTGGCATCAAACATGTGATGATCCTCCTGCCTCAGCCTTCCAGGTGCTGGGATTATAGGCATGAGTCACCTCACCTGGCTCAGGATTCTCTTTTAAACTGACTATAACATCTACCAGATTTCCTCATTGATTAGTGAATAGATTATACTATTTCATATATTTGCATTTTAAATCTCCATGAGAATCATGATTTTACCCATTTTTTAAAACATAGGCTGTAACAAGTTAAAGACCAAGGTATAGAAAAGTTCTGAGACCAGTATATAACTCATTGTTTTTCTGATACTGAGAAGTCATGGAAAGAATGGGAAAAAAAATTATATATCTATATATATATATATCTTAAATGCCAGGCCAAGAAGTTTGGATTCCATCTTATAGCTAAAACTCTAAATTCATGGTAAAATGGTAAATAGGATTGTTGCAATTTGAAAAAAATTTGATTATTAAAATTTTCGCTATTCTGAATCTTTTTAATTTTTACAAATAATTGGCTTCTTCTTATTTAGACTTTTGTATAATACAGTCTGAGGGCAAAATCATATATATTAAACTTAAGATAGCAACATTTATAATAGTCATTAAAAATAATTATGATTGTGGGGGACTTCACTACTTGAATTAATTTGAGAACCACTGGCTTTAGAAAAATAATTGGGTAAGGGGCTGGGGATTTAGCTCAGCGGCAAAGCGCCTGCCTGGCAAGCTCAAGGTCGTGAGTTCAGTTCCTGGTACTGGAAAAAAACAAAAAAAACAAAACAAAACAAAAAACTGGGTAGTAATTTGAGGAGTGACTATACCAGTTAACTAATAGTTTGGGACTTTTTGTGCTAAGTGCTTATATGATATCTCCAAAATAATATATGTATATTAATATATTATAATTCACATACTTATATATGTAAATTATATAATAAATTTATTAACATATTTTACTCAAAAGAAATATATGTGCACTTTTTTTTTTTTTTTGTGGTACCGGAGATCGAACTCACAACCTTGTGCTTGCCAGGCAGGCACTTATGCCACTGATCTATATCCCCAGCCTATATGTGCACATTTATAAGAAAAGTGTATTTAGAAAGTTAAATGAAAGCTCAAATTAAAAAGATCCTTCCATAATACAGCAAAACTGGATACACAATACTAAATTGTTTTGCAATAAAAAACAGGAGTTCTCTTTCAGAAGTAAGATAATAACCATAGATAAGCTATAAGCTAAAGAAAAATTCCAAAGAGAACTAGAAAAAAAAGTATGTGATATATAACTGATATAGTTTAGTGAAAAAGAATTTTATTTCATTACATTAAAAAAAGGCTACAAATGAATGAGCTAACCATCTATCTTAAGGAGAAAACAAATAGAATAAAATAAAAGAACTAGATAAAGTGAAATAATTAAGACCAGAGCAGGAAATATGAAATGAAAATGAATATAAAATAGGATCAATAAAGCCAAAAGTTCATTCTTTAAAAAGACTAAGAAAATAGTCCTCTGGGAAAGTTAATCAACATCAAAATAAATGATAAGCAAAATAATATAATATGACATAAAATTTTTAAAAATATTCTGGCAAGATTAATCAAAACAAACAGAAAGCTGAAATAAACAATACTTGGAATTTAAAAAGAGGAATCAGAAAGCTGGGCATGGTAGTGCACGCCTGTAAGTGCTGGGGAGGCTAAGGTAGGAAGATCACTGGCAGTTCAAGGCCAGCTTGGACTACAAAGTTAGTTCAAGGCCAGCCTGAACTGCACAGCGAAACCCTGTCTCAAAAAGACAAATAAATAAATAAATACAGGAATCAGAATGTAGAATTTAAACAAATAATAAGAAATATTGTGAAAGCACATGACACTAAAAAATTTAGATGATGTTAATAAATTCCTGCAAAAATAATACTCACTAAATTGAAACAAAAAGAAACATGTTCTATAATGTTCTAACTAAAAGTAGTTAAAATTAGTCATTGAGTGGTCATAATTTTTCCAAAGAAGCCCAGAGAAGTTTATATGCATATTTTACCCAGATCATTCCAATATTAAATTAATTCATTCAGAGTAAAAAGTAGCATTCATAATTATTTATAAGACATATATAACCTTGACATCAAAACAATGAAACTTAGTGAAAGAAAGTAAATTCATATGTCAGTGTCACTCAGGAATCTAGATATAAAATTCTTCATTATCCTTTTTTCTTCTGGTACAGGGGATCGAACCTAGGTCTTTGTTTATTTATTTAATTTATTTTTTATTGTTTGGTACTGGGAATCAAACTCATGACCTTGCCATTGCCAGGCAGGTGCTGTGCCACTGAGCTGTATCTCCAGTCCTGAAGGCCTTTGCACATGCTAGGCATGTGCTGTACCTCTGAGCTAAATTCCTAAGCTTAGATGTAATATTCTAAAGAAAAGTCAAAAAGCTGAGCCAACAATATATTTAAAAAAATGAAACAATCTAGGATCAAGTTGCACTGATCACAGTAACGCAAAGTTAGTTCAATGTTAGAAATAAATTAATACACAATATTTTACTACATTAGCAGATGAGATAATGAATACCAAACTATCATCTCGCAAGATGCAGAAATTATTTGATATATCAAGTGAGATCAAAATGCATGGTGAATTTTTATATAAGTATTATAATAAATGATATTAATCCCCCTCCCCAATATTTTCCCTTTCTTCAAACACTATGCATCACTCTTGCCACCTTCTGAAGCAGTTCTGGAAGTCTGCTTTTGTGAGTGTTTTTAGTTGCACTATTATGGCTACTTCAAAGTCCTGAATCCACTGGGAATGTTTGCTGTTTGTGATCATTCTGACTTTGGGGAAGAATTGGAAGTTGCATGGGGCGGCCCTGGTGGAACATTCGGACCCATGCCCCGGTAGAATCCTGGGACCCATGAGCTGGTCTCTGACCAATTCCACAAGTGTAGATTCTGTGCCTTGACTCAGCCACCATCAACTTAGAGCTGCTTCTGCATTGTTTCCCCTCTGGACTGGACAGCAGAAGTGCCAGCCAAGCGACAGACCAGATCTCAGACAGAATTCTGGAATAGGAAATTCTACATGGCTGACTAGAGAAGTCATATGACAGAAGCTGAGAAAAGACCTACTGAGAAGATATGATCTGGAAGATATAACATAGTGAAGTAGAGGAGAAGCAATGTTGGAGACACTCAGAACATCAGCAAGAAACAGAAAGTAGGAGAATAATAATAAAAAGAGAGACATAAAAGATGGACTAAGCAAACACAATGTGGTGACCATGTCTGATTTCTGCTTTGAAGATTCCAACGCAAAGAACATTACTCAGAGATAACCACAGAACATTTTACAAGGAAAAGGGAACTGTATGGGGACTGAGAGAATCCACTGGAACCTGCAAGAAAAATGTGGAATACTGCTCCCAGAGTGGCTTTCCACAGGAAACAGTTGGTGATATTAGAATTGTGACCCGGCTAATGCCACTGTTTCTCAAACTTTTAATGAAAATGAAAAGGAAGCAAGACTCCCATAGTCATTCCTGGAAGCAAACATTACCCTGATACAAAAACCAGAGAAGAATCCAATCAAAAAATCAGAACTACAGGCCCATCTCCCAAATGAACATAGTTGCAAAAATCCTCAACAAGATACTGGCAAACAGAATGGAGCAAATGATCAAAAAGATTATACGGCATGACCAAGTAGGACTCATCCCAGGGACGCAAAGATGACTCA